GGCGATTTCCAATGGTGCTGGTATTGTGGAGCAGCCTAAGCTTCTTAGCAGCGGGTGAGCCATAACCAGCAAACTCTTTCATTTTTGTATTCTATTTTCCTTCCTCTTGCAGTCTACAGTTGGCTGATTATCAGATAATTGGCCTTAACTGGCTCACCGTAATGCACAAACAAGAAATGAATGGCATTTTGGCGGATGAAATGGGTCTGGGCAAGACAATTCAGGTGATAGCATTTCTGGCTTATCTTAAGGAGAATGGTCTCAGCCAGGCTGCACATTTAATTGTTGTTCCCTCTTCCACGCTGGACAATTGGGAAGCGGAGATTAGCCGCTGGTGTCCCAAACTGGTGGTAGAAAAGTACCATGGTTCGCAGGACGAGCGGAGGAGAATGCGAGGGCGCTTTGCTAAGGATGGGTTTACTGGCTTTGATGTTCTTCTGACCACGTAACTAACTGTAAAGACATACAAGAATCTAAGCCATAATGTCTTGTACATTTCTAACAGCTATCACATTGTTGGATCCACGCCAGAGGAGAGGAAAATGTTCCGGGTTTGCAAGTTGGACTACGTCATTTTTGATGAAGCCCATATGCTGAAGAACATGACCACGCAACGCTATGCTAACCTTATAACCATAAATGCTAGGATGCGAATTCTGCTCACTGGAACTCCGCTGCAGAACAATCTGCTGGAGCTTATCTCTCTGCTCTGCTTCGTGATGCCCAAATTTTTCGCCAAGAGCATCGAGGACATAAAGTCGTTGTTTGTTAAGGTGAAAATAAATATTTTTTTTTTTTTAATAAAACAAGGTATAAGTCTCATGTCGCTTGCAGAAGGGAAAATCCGATGGAGATCAGGAGGAGGTGTCACAGTTCCAAGAAACACAAATCCAGAGAGCAAAGCGCATCATGAAGCCATTTGTGCTCAGACGCCTTAAGAAAGATGTTCTCAAGAACCTGCCCAAGAAGCTTAGCCTGGTGGTAAGTACGCCAGCCAAATATTAATATTATAAAACTATAAATCGGTATGTATTTTAAGGAAAAAGTGGCCATGAGCAGTCAGCAAAAAAATTACTATCACGAGCTGGTCGATTATTATTCCAACAACAAGGGCGAGGTGTGCAGCAGCAGCGAAAGGGCCGGCATAGCGATCATGATGGAGATGCGCCGCATTGCAAACCATCCGTTGCTGATGCGTCATTACTTCACCGACGCTAATCTGCGTGGATTCTCTAAGCGCCTGGCAAATGCCAGTTCTTTTAAAAAGACAAACGAGCAATACATATTTGAAGAGCTAGCAGTCATGTCTGACTTTCAGGTCTATCAGATGATGAACAAGCATGTAAGCGACTATCAGAGAGAAATCCCGACTCCAATTGCTAAATTTCTGTGCCTTTCAGGAGTTTTACGACGTTAAAATACCAGATAATTTGATCTGCGATTCTGGAAAATTCCGCTACCTGGATACTTTGCTTCCAAAACTGAAGGAAGAAGGACACCGTGTGCTGCTGTTCAGCCAGTTCACCATGATGCTGGACATTGTGGAGGAGTATTTGCGAATAAGAAAGTTTGGTTTCTGTCGCCTGGACGGTGCGACCGCCGTAAATGTCCGCCAGGACTTGATCACAGATTTCAATGGGGACGATAGCATCTTTGTGTTCCTACTCTCCACCAAAGCCGGTGGTGTTGGCATCAACTTGACGGCTGCCGACACCTGTGTCATTCACGACATCGACTTCAACCCGTACAACGATAAACAGGCCGAGGATCGGTGTCATCGCATGGGACAGCAGCGTCCGGTGACCATTTACCGTCTCATTTCCGAGAGTACCATCGAGGAGGGTATCCTGATGGCCGCCGAAGAGAAGCTAAAACTAGAAAAGGATATTACTTCCAACGAGAAGGGCGAGGTGCACGAGCAGCGGTGTGTGGTCAAGCTGTTGACCACAGCCCTTGGTTTGGATAAGGATCAGGAGGAGCAGCTTAACAATTCACTGAACAACTCCATTGCCTCGCCCGCCAAATAGGCATCCTCGTTGTCGTCATTCTCGTCCTTGTCCCCACCTCTATATTTATTCTGCGCCAGCATTGGATCAACTTGGTCTAATCGTCCTACCGCTGTCAAATCGTGTTAACATCTTTTGAATAATTTTATACCGATCAATATTGTATTTATATATTTTAAACTTGAACGCAAGGAAAGTGAGATCTGGCGTAAGGTTAGCTAAAAGTGGATCATAAATCGAGTTAGCAATTATTCACCGTCATGACGACAACTGTTCTTTACTAGTAACAACAACATTTCCACTATAAACCATGGCAGACAATTTTATATTATTGTTTTATTGATTTGTCACCTTGAATAGTTTTCCTTTTTGTAAGCGTTTATGTATCGAATTGAAACTCTTGTTATAAGGATAAAGAACATTTGTGTACGAATGCGATCATGTTCATTTATTTCTATTTGCTGTGCTGTTCGAGCAGCTCGACAACCCTCAACGGATCGCTCTCGCATTTTCCCACGAGATTCTTTCGGTTGTGTGGTGCAAAGAGACTCGGAGAATCGCTTTCCAGAGAGCCCAACTGTTTTGAAGAGCTTTCGGCTGGCGCGGCGATTCATCAAGTCTTTAGTCTTCAACTGATCGCTCGCGCCGATGATTTAATTTTTAAGTTAAAGCCTGCGCCCAGTGTAGCAGCCAGCAGCGTTACTCACATCCATACATACATACGTGCGAATATACATACATGCCTATATAATACGGCGTACATCGATAAATAGATATACCCCGCAGATATAGTGTCTCGATCGACAGCAACGAACCCATGGAAACCTAAAGTAACACCAAAACCCCATAGTTCCATAATTGAGTGTGTTCAATTCAGATAATATCCCTATCCTTTATATTTTGCTCTTACGAATCGGGATTATGTGATTCATGCATAAGTACATACGTTTCCTCCCCGAATTCTTTCTTGAATTCTATTTAAAAATAGACAAACTGTTTGCGAGCGGAAATCATATTGCCGCGGCGGCGACTAGAACGCTAAATAAATCGGGCCAATAATATGAAATAGTCGTTTTTTTTTTGTCTTGCTGCCAGCCCGCTGATATTATTGGTTTTGACCAGCGGAAACGGAAGCAACGCCAACTGCATATAGGTTTATAGATGTATCTACATAGTGCTGCGATACAGTCATCACTCGCAGCGCTGTCATATACTATAAATATAGATGCGGCGGCACATGTGAGCAGTTTTTGGCAATTGCCAAAGAATACGGCGCACAAGTCGGGTGAAAACAAACAGCGCGTGCAGGCTAAACATGAAAAGTAGTATAGGAACATATAAATAACAATTAATAATCCCCTCATTTTGGATGCGCTTGTATGCGTGTAGTGACCGATCGTATGTGTACGTGTGAGTAATCCGAACAATAACTATAGTATATACATATATAGCGAGCGATCTGCATTAAGTGAGAGAAAATCACACAAAAAGAAAAACCAACGAACGAACACAAAAACGCGAACAAAAACAAAAAATACCAAAACGGAATCGTAATAATTGACGAGCAGACAACGAGCCGAGAACAAGCAGCACAAAGCGACAAACCAAAAATAGACGATACCAACGGTGCGTATACTTAACGAGCCACCCGCTCATATCACTCATCTCACCCTCTCGCTCGCACTCGCACAGCAGCCACAGCAAGAGCAACAACAATAGACACTACAATCAATTGTGATCACAGTGCGTTTGTGTGAGTGCGTATGCGTATCTGTGCCTTTGCATTTGCCGCTGTATCTGTATCTCTATCTGTGTCTGGAAGCCCGCAATCCATAACCATCTTTTTGGGCGTGGAGGGACGCTTCGAAATATTAATTATTTCTGACACTGTTTACGGCTTGACTTGGCGCATGCCAAGCATGATTAAACGAGACACGAAAGAGCGTATCTACGAAGTAGATAAATATCTTTATACGAACAACTAAGCTGCGGCACCAAGCAACAATCGAATCGACGAATAGCAACAACGCACAAACAAACCCATCTATATACTCTATAGACAGAGATAAACAAAAGCTCAAGCAGCAGCAGCCGCAGCAACAACGAAACAATTTGGAAGAAACATTTTTGCACTAAAAGGTGAGTATCCGTTCATCCGGCGCTGATTCATAATACCAGCCCAGCTTATGCCGAGCATTCTGTTTGCCATTTTGAGAATGGACTGTTGAGCAATTAACGCGGCAAGTTCACATCGCTTTGATAGTAGTCACTCACAGGGGAACTAAGCTATGTAGGATTCTCTAACAACTTATGGTTCGTTTATGACAAGTCCATAGTTTTATTGATATAAGTACGTTCCAAGTAAGTAAGGAGTCAAAGATCCATTTGTAATAAGATTTCAAAGTGGCATTTCACAGTCTTAGAGGTCTGACTGTACCATGATGTATGTATCTTTTGCGGAGACTCACTCCGGACTCCTAGTGGGCCGCAGAATAAGAATTACTCGGGGGCTGATGTCATGTTCGGAGACGAAGTGCTCTAGCCAGAGGCCCAGACCAAACCAGATGCAACTCCTACGCTCGGCCATAAAGCCGGTTGCTCGAAGAGATCAAGTATGTAGTTTGCGCCTCCCTCTCGCATCTGGGGTAAACAGTTTTTATGTATCTTTACTTGATATATGAGTAGGTGAACATGTTACGGGTTTTGCTCAGGGCTAAGGCTTTAGATTGTCACGATTCATTTTAATTGGATTTCAGACCCAGCAATCTGAATCTGCAAAAGGGGAAGATATCCCTCACATCGTATTAAGAAGAGAACTCAACTCGACAAAGGAGGAAAGGAAACCAACTATTGTGATATGTACAAATTTACTCAAATACTGAAGCCACACATTTAGACGTTTATTCAACGGGATCCCAGTTGTGAACCGATTAACCGGAGGATAACCTACCAAAGATTAGGCTTTCATCTTCAATTAAGTATACCCAAATAGAGCAGAAGCAGTACTCGAAAATCGCAGGATGGCCGATAAAGTGGAACTGGCCCAGGCCAGCCTGAATGGCCAACAGAATGATCCGCGGAAGGTGCGCAAGTCACCGGAATTTCAGGCCGGCGTTATCTCTCGCGAACGCAGCTTTGTGCGCACCTCGAATCAACAGGTGGGTATGCCATATCGATGTCAAAAAGTAGCCATATTTATATTATTGTTTGTGGTTTCAGAATATCAACAAACGCCGAAGTCTGGCTTTCAACGTACCTGGCAATCAGACGGGACAGATGAGAGGCAAACCAGCCATGGATATCTACAGACCTCCCAGTGAGTTGTTTTAGCCATTCGTTATAAATTCTCTTGTTCGCTTGGCTGCTTGGCGGGTGCTCGGTGATATAGAAGTTATAGAACTCAATATGGTAAAGGAATTGTATATCTCGAGGATATTAAATCGGTATTATTTTAGTGATGGTTTAAGTGATCAACTGTAGATATATGAATTTGGACGAGAAAGGTACTACATTACCACTAACATGTACATACGAGTATGACTATATTTTTTATAAGGATATTGTATAAGGGTTATTTCAGTTTTTTTAACATATCTCTCAAAATGCTAGTGTATGTGGCAAATGATAAAATATCAAAAGGGAAATCTTAAGTGCAATTGCAATCCTATCTTAGTTATAGACTTTCAAACAGCCCAGCTTAAGATGCTCTATTTCTTGCTGCAAGCTTATCAGTTCCAATTCTTACTTACTGAGACCACATTTTTCTTTTGATTCTTTTCATATCTCTGTCTCATACCCTGTACATTCCGTCCCTCCACACAATGTTGTCCCACCCCCACAACATCACATACACTCTTGGGTATACCGACCCTCCCCCACCCAAAATCCCCACTTGACTTTGTCTCAGATGTGCGCGGAGAGCTGGCCGCTCCAGCCGGTGGTGATGGTTCGAATGGTGCTATCGGTGGTGTCGCCAACAAGCTGAACGTCAATGCCCAGGAGTTCACAATGACAACCAGCTCCGGGGCACCGGCCGAGGCACTCAGCAATCGGTAATGCAAAGTCATTTAATGCCATTGTTTACCCCTCTTCCCGTCTCCTTGCAGAGCTAAACTACAGTCTACAACATTCTTCCAGTTCGTCTCTGATCTTCCCGCCCACCAACGGAACCGGAGTCGCAGTTTCACCGGTTGTGGGTCAGTACGGAAGCGTGAATCGCCGCCAGGCCGGACTCTCCCTCGGCAACATGCCGGGCTTGAAGGCCAACCACCGCTCGATCTTGGTGACGTACCCAATCAATAACAGTGCCCTCAGCGGGCAGCTGCCGCTCATGAACTCGCCCTCCAGTGGAAATATACTTCACGTGAGCTATAATTTAAATATATGGCTAAAAGAAAGTTTATTTCAATCAATAAACTCTTAAATTTCAGACAACAAATCGTGTAAAGTTTGCACCTGAGCCCCGAGGTCACAAAGTGGCTTCCCATAATCAGTTTGGTCAGCAACACAACAACTATGCTCAGCCTTACCAGACGAACATCAATGGAGTAGATCCGTACATGAATGGCAATGCACTGCAACGCTCCAAATCGTTGTCGTCGGCGGATGCCCTAACTCGGGGAATGGCCGGTTTGGGACTTGGTTTGGGCAACGAGGTGGCCGACATAGGACAGTTCACCCCAGAGATCCAGGCGCTTATTGACACGGCCCTGGAAGATCCCAATAAGCTGAACTCTCGCTGTCTCATGGAACTGACATCGCAGTTCATCAAACGTGCGGTGGAGAGTCGCCGCTTTGCCCTGCCAATATCACGGCTGTGTCTGAACATCATCGCCCGGGAGCAGAAGGAAACGTTCCTCGAGGCGCTTCTCAACACGTGCCGTCAGTGGTACCAGGAGCGTGAAAAGGTAGAAGGATTTAGCATAAATTGCTTCATGCTCACTTGAACTAAAAAAAATCGATTATCTCGTACCCAGCTCTTGTTTGCCATCCAGGGCATGAAGTCTCCATCACGTGTCCGATTCACCGCCTTTATGGCATTCCTCACGGAGATGTTTTGTCAACTAAAACGTCGGCAGCTCCAGCTGCGCACCCAGCACGAGGGCACTCCTCCACCATTGGTGCTGCTTAGTCTGCTGTCCAAATGTTGCGAGGATTGCGTGCGTCCACCCATTAGATCACTCTCAGAGGTAAGAAATTGTAATATACATACATAACTACGATTATATTCTTAATTTTCAGATTGAGTGCCTGTTCTATGTACTAACCTGTATTGGCCAGGACATGGAGCAGCAGCTGCCCCAGCAACTGGAGTTGCTCATGGGTCTGGTTCGCGATGCCTTTTTGAATGCCGGCGAATCTGCGGCTTCCATTCGGCGCACTCTTCTCCAACTCATCGAGCTGAAGGCCTCCCACTGGCAGCTACCAGGCAATACGGTTCTCTACTACACGCACACTAACAATTAGGTCTTGATTATGAGAAAATAATTGGAACCAGATCTGGACCTGGTAACATGGCGGGGATACGGGCACTTTGCAATCATCAGGACACCATCAGCTATAGATTCTGTTGTCGCATTGCATTTAGGGCCTGGAAAACTTCTGTTCTATTTATCTTATTGTATTCTTACCTAGACATAAGCAATATTTATTTCGGCACCAGCTATAGAGAGAAACTAACCCGAGACTTGCACACTACACACCAAGCTCAGTACCAAATAAGAACGAACGCTTGGATTCGGTATCTTCGGACTCTGCTATAATCTAAGGCTCAACATTTATGTGAATCCATATATTTATGTGTAATAAATCACAGCTAGTCAAACGAGGGCGCAAGTGTATTTTATGCGGGGTATTGAATTATCGGTCATGAGAACAAAAAAGACAACAAAGCAGCTTAAAATGCATAAACACTCTACAAAATTATCTTTTTATTTTTATTTGTAATAATGACCCGCGCTTACCTGTTGAACTGTGTTGAACTACGACCCTGGAGTACCTTATCAGTTCCCTGCTATGTCATTTTCTTTGCTTCCTATTTAAGCACAATCTGAGGCTCAAAAATCCAGAGTCTTGCTCGAGTAGTTGAAATGGTAAGTCGAAATACTTTTGGTTACCGCATAGCAACATTTTTCTCCATTACAGGTCGTTCTAAGTTGTTTTATTTGGCTTGCCCTTTACCAAGGTGCCGTTGTAGCGATGAATGGCAGTGAAATTAAATTCGGGGACGAATCAGCTACAGAATCTGCTGAAAAATATCCTGTCCACTGCTGGCATGATCCTTTTTTCCCGGGCTGTCCATTTCGTCCGGGAGAAGGCAATAATTCCACCACTAAGACTTCAACAGATCCAACAACCCAAAAGACTACGAACGAACCAACCAGTGAGAAATCAACAAAAGTGAAGACAACCACCATAAAATCAACAGCAGAGCCAACAACCCAAAAAGCAACAAAAGATCCAACCACTGAGAACACAACAACTCAGAAGACAACCACCATTAAATCGACAGCAGAACCGACAACCCAAAAGACAACTACTGAAAAGACAACAAAACAGCCAACCACTAAGACAACCACCATAAAATCAACAGCAGAGCCGACCACCCAAAAGTCAAATACTGCAAAGTCTACTAACAAGCCAACCACTGAGAACACAACAACCCAAAAGACAACCACCATTAAATCGACAGCAGAACCGACAACCCAAAAGACAACTACTGAAAAGACAACAAAACAGCCAACCACCATAAAATCAACAGCAGAGCCGACAACCCGAAAGTCAAATACTGCAAAGTCTACTAACAAGCCAACAACTGAGAACACAACAACTCTGAAGACAACCACCATTAAATCGACAGCAGAACCAACTACCCAAAAGAGAACTACTGAAAGGACAACAAAAGAGCCAACTACTGAGAAAAAAACAACTCAGAAGACAACCACCATTAAATCGACAGCAGAGCCGACAACCCAAAAGACAACTACTGAAAAGACAACACAAGAGCCAAACACTAAGAAAACAACAACTCAGAAGACTACCACCATTAAATCGACCGCAGAGCCAACAACCCGAAAAACAACTTCTGAAAAGACAACAAAAGAGCCAAACACTGAAACAACCACCATTAAATCAACAGCGGAGCCAACAACCGAAAAAACAACTACAGAAAGGACTACTACTGAGCTAACCAGTGAAAAAACAACAACACTGAAGACAACCACCATTAAATCGACAGCAGAGCCGACAACCCAAAAGACGACTACTGAAAAGACAACAAAAGTGCCAACCACTGAGAAAACAACAACAGTGAAGACAACCACCATAAAATCAACAGCAGAGCCAACAACCCAAAAGACAACTACTGAAAAGACAACAAAAGAGCCAACCATTGAGAAAACAACAACACTGAAGACAACCACCATTAAATCGACAGCAGAGCCGACAACCCAAAAGACAACTACTGAAAAGACAACAAAAGAGCCAACCACTGAGAAAACAACAACACTGAAGACAACCACCATTAAATCGACAGCAGAGCCGACAACCCAAAAGACAACTACTGAAAAGACAACAAAAGAGCCAACCACTGAGAAAACAACAACTCAGAAGACAACCACCATTAAATCGACAGCAGAGCCGACAACCCCAAAGACAACTACTGAAAAGACAACAAAAGAGCCAACCACTGAGAAAACAACAACACAGAAGACAACCACCATTAAATCGACAGCAGAGCCGACAACCCAAAAGACAACTACTGAAAAGACAACAAAAGAGCCAACCACTGAGAAAACAACAACTCAGAAGACAACCACCATTAAATCGACAGCAGAGCCGACAACCCCAAAGACAACTACTGAAAAGACAACAAAAGAGCCAACCACTGAGAAAACAACAACACTGAAGACAACCACCATTAAATCGACAGCAGAGCCGATAACTCAAAAGACAACTACTGAAAAGACAACAAAAGAGCCAACCACTGAGAAATCAACAACTCATAAGACAACCACCATTAAATCGACAGCAGAGCCGACAACCCAAAAGACAACTACTGTTAAGACAACAAAAGAGCCAACCACTGAGAAAGCAACAACACAGAAGACAACCACCATTAAATCGACAGCAGAGCCGACAACCCAAAAGACAACTACTGAAAAGACAACAAAAGAGCCAACCACTGAGAAAACAACAACACTGAAGACAACCACCATTAAATCGACAGCAGAGCCGACAACTCAAAAGACAACTACTGAAAAGACAACAAAAGAGCCAACCACTGAGAAATCAACAACTCATAAGACAACCACCATTAAATCGACAGCAGAACCGACAACCCAAAAGATAACTACTGTTAAGACAACAAAAGAGCCAACCACTGAGAAAACAACAACACTGAAGACAACTACGATTAAATCGACAGCAGAGCCGACAACTCAAAAGACAACTACTGAAAAGACAACAAAAGAGCCAACCACTGAGAAAACAACAACAGTGAAGACAACCACCATAAAATCAACAGCAGAGCCAACAACCCAAAAGACAACTACTGAAAAGACAACAAAAGAGCCAACCACTGAGAAAACAACAACACTGAAGACAACCACCATTAAATCGACAGCAGAGCCGACAACCCAAAAGACAACTACTGAAAAGACAACAAAAGAGCCAACCACTGAGAAAACAACAACTCAGAAGACAACCACCATTAAATCGACAGCAGAGCCGAAAACCCCAAAGACAACTACTGAAAAGACAACAAAAGAGCCAACCACTGAGAAAACAACAACACAGAAGACAACCACCATTAAATCGACAGCAGAGCCGACAACCCAAAAGACAACTACTGAAAAGACAACAAAAGAGCCAACCACTGAGAAAACAACAACACTGAAGACAACCACCATTAAATCGACAGCAGAGCCGACAACTCAAAAGACAACTACTGAAAAGACAACAAAAGAGCCAACCACTGAGAAATCAACAACTCATAAGACAACCACCATTAAATCGACAGCAGAGCCGACAACCCAAAAGACAACTACTGTTAAGACAACAAAAGAGCCAACCACTGAGAAAACAACAACACAGAAGACAACCACCATTAAATCGACAGCAGAGCCGACAACCCAAAAGACAACTACTGAAAAGACAACAAAAGAGCCAAGCACTGAGAAAACAACAACACTGAAGACAACCACCATTAAATCGACAGCAGAGCCGACAACTCAAAAGACAACTACTGAAAAGACAACAAAAGAGCCAACCACTGAGAAATCAACAACTCATAAGACAACCACCATTAAATCGACAGCAGAGCCGACAACCCAAAAGACAACTACTGTTAAGACAACAAAAGAGCCAACCACTGAGAAAACAACAACACTGAAGACAACTACGGTTAAATCGACAGCAGAACCGACAACCCAAAAAACAACTACTGCAAAAACAACAAGAAAACCAAAAACTGAGAAAACAACAACTGTAAAGACAACCACCATTAAATCGACAGCAGAGCCGACAACTCAAAAGACAACTACTGAAAAGACAACTACTGTAAGGACAACAAAAGAGCCAACCACTAAGAAAACAACAACACTGAAGACAACTACGATTAAATCGACAGCAGAACCGACAACCCAAAAGACAACTACTGCAAAAACAACAAGAAAACCAAAAACTGAGAAACCAACAACTGTAAGGACAACCACCATTAAATCGACAGCAGAGCCGACAACCCAAAAGACAACTACTGTTAAGACAACAAAAGAGCCAACCACTGAGAAAACAACAACACAGAAGACAACCACCATTAAATCGACAGCAGAGCCGACAACCCAAAAGACAACTACTGAAAAGACAACAAAAGAGCCAACCACTGAGAAAACAACAACACTGAAGACAACCACCATTAAATCGACAGCAGACCCGACAACTCAAAAGACAACTACTGAAAAGACAACAAAAGAGCCAACCACTGAGAAATCAACAACTCATAAGACAACCACCATTAAATCGACAGCAGAGCCGACAACCCAAAAGACAACTACTGTTAAGACAACAAAAGAGCCAACCACTGAGAAAACAACAACACTGAAGACAACTACGGTTAAATCGACAGCAGAACCGACAACCCAAAAGACAACTACTGAAAAGACAACAAAAGAGCCAAGCACTGAGAAAACAACAACACTGAAGACAACCACCATTAAATCGACAGCAGAGCCGACAACCCAAAAGACAACTACTATAAAGACAACAAAAGAGCCAACCACTGAGAAAACAACAACACTGAAGACAACTACGGTTAAATCGACAGCAGAACCGACAACCCAAAAGACAACTACTGCAAAAACAACAAGAAAACCAAAAACTGAGAAACCAACAACTGTAAGGACAACCACCATTAAATCGACAGCAGAGCCGACAACCCAAAAGACAACTACTGTTAAGACAACAAAAGAGCCAACCACTGAGAAAACAACACAGAAGACAACCACCATTAAATCGACAGCAGAGCCGACAACCCAAAAGACAACTACTGAAAAGACAACAAAAGAGCCAACCACTGAGAAAACAACAACACTGAAGACAACCACCATTAAATCGACAGCAGAGCCGACAACTCAAAAGACAACTACTGAAAAGACAACAAAAGAGCCAACCACTGAGAAATCAACAACTCATAAGACAACCACCATTAAATCGACAGCAGAACCGACAACCCAAAAGATAACTACTGTTAAGACAACAAAAGAGCCAACCACTGAGAAAACAACAACACTGAAGACAACTACGATTAAATCGACAGCAGAGCCGACAACTCAAAAGACAACTACTGAAAAGACAACAAAAGAGCCAACCACTGAGAAAACAACAACAGTGAAGACAACCACCATAAAATCAACAGCAGAGCCAACAACCCAAAAGACAACTACTGAAAAGACAACAAAAGAGCCAACCACTGAGAAAACAACAACACTGAAGACAACCACCATTAAATCGACAGCAGAGCCGACAACCCAAAAGACAACTACTGAAAAGACAACAAAAGAGCCAACCACTGAGAAAACAACAACTCAGAAGACAACCACCATTAAATCGACAGCAGAGCCGAAAACCCCAAAGACAACTACTGAAAAGACAACAAAAGAGCCAACCACTGAGAAAACAACAACACAGAAGACAACCACCATTAAATCGACAGCAGAGCCGACAACCCAAAAGACAACTACTGAAAAGACAACAAAAGAGCCAACCACTGAGAAAACAACAACACTGAAGACAACCACCATTAAATCGACAGCAGAGCCGACAACTCAAAAGACAACTACTGAAAAGACAACAAAAGAGCCAACCACTGAGAAATCAACAACTCATAAGACAACCACCATTAAATCGACAGCAGAGCCGACAACCCAAAAGACAACTACTGTTAAGACAACAAAAGAGCCAACCACTGAGAAAACAACAACACAGAAGACAACCACCATTAAATCGACAGCAGAGCCGACAACCCAAAAGACAACTACTGAAAAGACAACAAAAGAGCCAAGCACTGAGAAAACAACAACACTGAAGACAACCACCATTAAATCGACAGCAGAGCCGACAACTCAAAAGACAACTACTGAAAAGACAACAAAAGAGCCAACCACTGAGAAATCAACAACTCATAAGACAACCACCATTAAATCGACAGCAGAGCCGACAACCCAAAAGACAACTACTGTTAAGACAACAAAAGAGCCAACCACTGAGAAAACAACAACACTGAAGACAACTACGGTTAAATCGACAGCAGAACCGACAACCCAAAAAACAACTACTGCAAAAACAACAAGAAAACCAAAAACTGAGAAAACAACAACTGTAAAGACAACCACCATTAAATCGACAGCAGAGCCGACAACTCAAAAGACAACTACTGAAAAGACAACTACTGTAAGGACAACAAAAGAGCCAACCACTAAGAAAACAACAACACTGAAGACAACTACGATTAAATCGACAGCAGAACCGACAACCCAAAAGACAACTACTGCAAAAACAACAAGAAAACCAAAAACTGAGAAACCAACAACTGTAAGGACAACCACCATTAAATCGACAGCAGAGCCGACAACCCAAAAGACAACTACTGTTAAGACAACAAAAGAGCCAACCACTGAGAAAACAACAACACAGAAGACAACCACCATTAAATCGACAGCAGAGCCGACAACCCAAAAGACAACTACTGAAAAGACAACAAAAGAGCCAACCACTGAGAAAACAACAACACTGAAGACAACCACCATTAAATCGACAGCAGACCCGACAACTCAAAAGACAACTACTGAAAAGACAACAAAAGAGCCAACCACTGAGAAATCAACAACTCATAAGACAACCACCATTAAATCGACAGCAGAGCCGACAACCCAAAAGACAACTACTGTTAAGACAACAAAAGAGCCAACCACTGAGAAAACAACAACACTGAAGACAACTACGGTTAAATCGACAGCAGAACCGACAACCCAAAAGACAACTACTGAAAAGACAACAAAAGAGCCAAGCACTGAGAAAACAACAACACTGAAGACAACCACCATTAAATCGACAGCAGAGCCGACAACCCAAAAGACAACTACTATAAAGACAACAAAAGAGCCAACCACTGAGAAAACAACAACACTGAAGACAACTACGGTTAAATCGACAGCAGAACCGACAACCCAAAAGACAACTACTGCAAAAACAACAAGAAAACCAAAAACTGAGAAACCAACAACTGTAAGGACAACCACCATTAAATCGACAGCAGAGCCGACAACCCAAAAGACAACTACTGTTAAGACAACAAAAGAGCCAACCACTGAGAAAACAACACAGAAGACAACCACCATTAAATCGACAGCAGAGCCGACAACCCAAAAGACAACTACTGAAAAGACAACAAAAGAGCCAAGCTCTGAGAAAACAACAACACTGAAGACAACCACCATTAAATCGACAGCAGAGCCGACAACTCAAAAGACAACTACTGTTAAGACAACAAAAGAGCCAACCACTGAGAAAACAACAACACTGAAGACAACTACGGTTAAATCGACAGCAGAACCGACAACCCAAAAGACAACTACTGCAAAGACAACAAGAAAACCAAAAACTGAGAAAACAACAACAGTGAAGACAACCACCATAAAATCAACAGTAGAGCCAACAACCCAAAAGACAACTACTGAAAAGACAACAAAAGAGCCAAGCACTGAGAAAACAACAACACTGAAGACAACCACCATTAAATCGACAGCAGAACCGACAACCCAAAAGACAACTACTGTTAAGACAACAAAAGAGCCAACCACTGAGAAATCAACAACTCATAAGACAACCACCATTAAATCGACAGCAGAGCCGACAACCCAAAAGACAACTACTGTAAAGACAACAAAAGAGCCAACCACTGAGAAAACAACAACACTGAAGACAACTACGGTTAAATCGACAGCAGAACCGACAACCCAAAAGACAACTACTGCAAAGACAACAAGAAAACCAAAAACTGAGAAAACAACAACAGTGAAGACAACCACCATAAAATCAACAGCAGAGCCAACAACCCAAAAGACAACTACTGAAAAGACAACAAAAGAGCCAAGCACTGAGAAAACAACAACACTGAAGACAACCACCATTAAATCGACAGCAGAACCGACAACCCAAAAGACAACTACTGTAAAGACAACAAAAGAGCCAACCACTGAGAAAACAACAACACTGAAGACAACTACGATTAAATCGACAGCAGAACCCACAACCCAAAAGACAACTACTGCAAAAACAACAAGAAAACCAAAAACTGAGAAAACAACAACTGTAAAGACAACCACCATTAAATCGACAGCAGAGCCGACAACTCAAAAGACAACTACTGAAAAGACAACTACTGTAAGGACAACAAAAGAGCCAACCACTAAGAAAACAACAACACTGAATACAACTACGATTAAATCGACAGCAGAACCGACAACCCAAAAGACAACTACTGCAAAAACAACAAGAAAACCAAAAACTGAGAAAACAACAACTGTAAGGACAACCACCATTAAATCGACAGCAGAACCGACAACTCAAAAGACAACTACTGAAAAGACAACAAAAGAGCCAACCACTGAGAAAACAACAACACTGAAGACAACTACGATTAAATCGACTGCAGAGCCGACAACCCAAAAGACAACTACTGAGAAAAGAACAAAGCAACCAACCACTGAAAATACAACCACACAAAAGACAACGACTACCGCAAAAACGAATGAACCCACAACAAAGAGATCAACAACTTTAAGGACTACCGGAGAACCAACCACTCGTAAAATATCTACGGCAAAGACTACTCAAGAGCCAACCACTAAGAAGAGAACAACTGAAAAAACAACTCGTGAGCCAAACACTCGGAGGACAACCACCCATAAGACAACAGTAGAACCAATGACCAAGAGGACTACAACCAAAAAGACGACGCATGAACCCACGACAAAGAGATCAACAACTTTTAGAACTACCGCAGAACCAACCACTCGTAAAACATCTACCGCAAAGACTACTCAAAAGCCAACCACTAAGAAGAGAACAACTGAAAAATCAACTCGTGAGCCAACCACTCGGAGGACAACCACCCATAAGACAACAGTAGAACCAACGACCAAGAGGACTACAACCAAAAAGACGACGCATGAACCCACGACAAAGAGATCAACAACTTTAAGAACTACCGCAGAACCAACCACTCGTAAAACATCTACCGCAAAGACTACTCAAAAGCCAACCACTAAGAAGAGAACAACTGAAAAAACAACTCGTGAGCCAACCACTCGGAGGACAACCACCCATGAGACAACAGTAGAACCAACCACCATGAAGACTACAACCAAAATGACGACGCTTGAACCCACGACAAAGAGATCAACAACTTTAAGGACTACTGCAGAAGCAACCACTCGTAAAACGTCTACCACAAAGACTACTGCAGAGCCAACCACATCGGTTAAGACAACAGCAGAAAAAACTACAAAAAGGACGACAGCTAATATGTTTACAACAACTCAGGAGCCAACATCCGTAAAAATTAATACTAATTCTTCTAATCAGAGCAAAACTACCACGGAATCAACCACTACCGAAGGACAACATATTCACCACCAACATCACCATATTCATTATCACAAGCCCGCTGATACAGGTCCATCCTTCCTTCCACTTCCTGATGTTCCGCCTCTGCCTTTGCCCCTGCCTTGGCCGCCAGTCCCACTTCCCGAAATTCCTCTATCTTTGCCTCCTTTACCTCCACCGTTGCCACCGCTGCCTCCACACCAACCATTGCCGGAAGTAAACTTAACAGAAATTTCTTTACCAGAAATTTCCCTTCCTAATTTGCCACAACTACCACAATTGCCGAATCCTTTTGGTGGGTTTCCAAACTTCTTTTGGCGATCATTAAAAGCTAAAAATGAGTCCGCCTTCAATATGTAACAATATACTAAATTATTGTTTTTGGCCATGGAAATGTGAAGAATAATGTGCTGGAAAAGCTATTATTTGTTTATTGAATTTAACTGTTATTTTAAAAATATTACTTATTATTAATATATTTTGCAACTGGTCTTCAATATGACCGAAATGGGTCATCCTGTTTTCCGAATCAAAGCAGCATTTACGCTTTTGTGAAGGAGAAACAACGATACCTACCAGAAATGGGGTTAAATGGAAAATCGCTTCAGTGTAAAAACCGCTTCCTGCAACCAGCTGCTCAATCCCCTATCTATGTATATCTACTTTATTTTGTCAAATTTATGAAGAATTTTGGGAACGCAATTAAATTTATTTTTTTTTAAGTTTTCACAATATATTTTGTAAGTAAACGGACGAAACTCGACGTTTCCAGTAATTAGGTATTTTATGTATATATCGATTCCCCGTACGACATATCGATATCGATAGTATCGGTATCGGTGCTATCGTGGGTGGGTGAACCAGCTCTAAGCGGATGGCTCGGCCATTTCGTTTTTGTCTTCACCCCAATAAAGTTGATAGACCTACAAGTAAGCATTTTCACTTGGATAAAGTGGGAAATAAGTTGTCTTTAATTTAAAAAGCATGGCCATATCACAGACAGAGTTTTGTAATATGCTAAAAGCTAGTTTAAAGTGTTGAATTCCGAGTGATGGAGTGCATTTTTCGTAAAAATCAATTGCCCCTTTGGTACACCACGTGTTCCAAAATGGCGACGATATGTAGAACGGTGAACACACTAACTACTTTTTGCAATTACCACCTGAAGGCGCATAAAATCAGAAGATTGACCATTATTGACGTGAATCTTATTTTTTTTTTTTAACTCTGCTCTTTCAGAATGGCGGACGCAGCTCCAGCCCGTAGTGGATTCCGTGGCGGATTTGGCTCTCGTGGTGGTCGTGGTGGACGCGGTCGTGGCCGTGGACGCGGCGCCCGCGGACGTGGAAAGGAGGACTCCAAGGAGTGGGTGCCAGTGACCAAGCTGGGACGCCTGGTGCGCGAGGGCAAGATCAAGTCTTTGGAGGAGATCTACCTGTACTCGCTCCCCATCAAAGAGTTCGAGATCATCGATTTCTTCCTGGGATCCGCGCTGAAGGATGAGGTGCTGAAGATCATGCCCGTCCAGAAGCAGACCCGTGCTGGTCAGCGTACCCGTTTCAAGGCCTTTGTTGCCATCGGCGATAACAACGGCCACATTGGTCTGGGCGTTAAGTGCAGCAAGGAAGTGGCCACCGCCATCCGTGGTGCCATCATCCTGGCCAAGCTCTCCGTTGTGCCTGTGCGCCGTGGCTACTGGGGCAACAAGATTGGCAAGCCCCACACCGTGCCCTGCAAGGTCACCGGAAAGTGCGGTTCCGTCTCCGTGCGTCTCATCCCCGCCCCCCGTGGTACCGGCATCGTCTCGGCCCCCGTGCCCAAGAAGCTGCTGACCATGGCCGGTATTGAGGATTGTTACACCTCGGCCCGTGGCTCCACTGGAACCCTCGGCAACTTCGCCAAGGCTACCTATGCCGCCATCGCTAAGACTTACGCCTACTTGACCCCCGATTTGTGGAAGGAGATGCCTCTGGGCTCCACTCCCTACCAAGCATACTCGGACTTCCTGTCCAAGCCCACTCCTCGTCTGCACGCCGATGCCTAAGTGAGCACCATCGAGGCCAATCAATCCAGAGTTTTTGAATAAAGTCATAAACCTTTAAATATAATCCTTTGCTCATTTATTATTATTGTAGGAATTCGTCGATTTGAAGATAAATTGTTTTAGGTTCTTGTAACGGCTTATTACAATTTATAGGCGGTTATGCAAAACGTATAACTTAGGTTTCGTTTTCTAATTCAGTCAATGCCGAAGTAACAACATGCTAGTAAAAATGCTCAGGAAATACAAAACACATATGCTGCTTACACATAAAAATATATTTAAAAATTATACTTAGAATAGGTAAACAAAAAGTCTATGCCTTGACTCCATAAGCTTCTGGCATACGCTCGATTGCGTACTTATGCGCAGCCACGTACATGATAGGCACACCGGGAATCTTGCGGATGCGGTTCTTGAGGTCCTTGTCGTTGGTGGCCACAATGTAGCACTTGTGCTGGCGCACCCGCTCCACGAGACAGTCGTCCGCATAGGTGCCCTTGTGCAGGCAGGGCAGTCGCTCGAATCTGGGATCGGAGATAATGCGCAGGGCCAGCTTGTACTTGTTGCCCAGCTTCTCCAGCTCGGCACGCACGCAATCGGAGATGTAGGGTATGCACTTGGCATACAGACAGTCCATCATACCCTGCACAATGTCCAGTTTGTTCTTAATGCTGAAGTTGATGAAGTTCGTGTCCAGGATGATGTGGTAGGGCGGTCCCAGCTGGGTGTTGTACTGGAAGAAGAGGGCGGAGCTCTGCTGGGTGGCCTCGTGTACCTTAATCTGGTGCGGATCCTCAGCCTTCTTTCTTTTCACTCGAATCTGATCCTTGAGCCGGGCGTCTGTGGGTTTCATTAGGCGCTTAAGCTGTGCATTGCGTTGTTTCTTAACCTTCTGCGTTTTCTTGTGCTTTCCCTGTAAGAGAAGTGATGATGTTAGGACGCGTTTAAATAGATATGAAAGGATTATGTACCATGGTGAGCTGTAATTCCTTAAGAAAGTAAACAATATAATTAAAGAAGTGGCACACGTGTGGAAAGTATTTTGGTAAAATCAGCTGTTTCGGCTAGAGCAGTGATGATAGCGATATGCAATCGATACATCGAATGAACATATGAATATTTTACAATTCTTTTAGGCATTCTGCGAGACATTTTAATTTTATAGAAAATACATTTTGTGAATCAATTAATGGAAATTATTTGGTATTTCAGCTTATCGGTAAAGTTATTCTTATACAATATATATCGAACCACATATACCAATATATACTGCCACGGTTGCATTTTAAGACATCGATAGTTTGCCGCCATCTTTGCACTGAATTTTTCTTTCCACGTGCGACGACGAAACTCGCTCATTTCATTTCAAGACTCAGAATGGTAAGTTGTGTGGTCCCCTTGAATAGTTTTACACCAAGTAAATAAAAGTGCTTAAAAAGAAAAGTGTTATGCCTCAAATGATGAAACAGATGACGAGACTGAAGGAACGAATTCTCGACTCGGCGTTGTATTTTTCAGTGCCTTGTTATATATTTGTTCATTTAAGATGATTCGGCAATCTGATGGCATATTACTTCAACTACTTTCATTAGTTTAGGCAAGAATATGTGCTGAGAGTTTTATATTTCTTGCAGTGAACAACAACGGAAACTTCAAGCATTTGGCTAAATCAAGATACGTGCATTCCACGTGCATGTGAGACACCTCGGGACAACATGTGAGCCCGTTGAGACACCTTGGGCAATGAGCCCTCTTAAACACCATTTCTGCATTGAAGGTAAGATATTAGTACTTTTTGGTGGTATATTTTCTTCTGATGATCTTATACACAGACCTGTACTGAGCTCAATAACCGTGCAGAAAATTGTAAACTGAAACCTAACCAAATATATAAAATATTAGGAAATACTTTTTGTACACACTATATTTATGGCATGTTTTATATTTTCAGATTTTACTTTCCGGTTTGAGGTTATGTAGGGGTCCAGCTGCAGCAAGCACATGGATAATCACCCTTAAAGGTAATTGATTTGCACCAGTATTTTTATGTTTGAATGTAATATACGTTTTTCTGATGATTACCTTCAACACCTTTTGCGGTTTCCACCAGAAAGCTTCGGCTTAAGGATGGTCTAAGGCGTCTGACTAAAACGTTTTTATAAAAACTTAATTATACTTTATCCATTACTTTTACTTACATATTTGTAATCTGTTTCCAGATCAACTCAGGAATGTGGTGACAACGGAAGCGAAAAATAACTGAGCTTTTGCATTCGACTGCTTAAGGTAATATTTCCGAAAATGTATTTTTTAAATTATATAAAATGATGATTACCTTCAACACCTTTTGCGGTTTCCACCAGAAAGCTTCGGCTTAAGGATGGTCTAAGGCGTCTGATTAATATAAATAAATATATATTTTCTTTCCCTTGAGATAATGCATTTAACATTTGATGTTTTACTATAATTGCAGAATGACGTTGACAGACTTGCACAGAATAATTGGAAATTTTTATGCACACATCTAATAAAATCAAATCATCGAAAATTATATTCATTGTTTATTGTTATTGGGAGTTAATTGAGTTTAGGCAACAATTAAAATCTTTAGTAATTGACCATTTGGTAAAGTAGCGTTGCGCCTAAAACTTTTTAAAATTATGCTTTCTAATTCGCTTTTTACTGGGCTTGAAGATGCTATTCGAACCATTTAGCATAATTGTGAGCGCACTGTGCGACAGTAATGAGGCTGAAAATAAGATCAATATTATTATGAGAATAAAGTAATATGGAAAGTTATTCAACCCCCTGAACGAGTGTAAACTTATTTAAATGATTTAATAGTGAGTAAACGAGTTCAAAAGTTGCGCACCCAATTGTCATCTCTATTTTCCAATCCCTACATTCGATATCGATAACATGGAAAATGAGACGCGCCGGTTTAATCAAACCGCTGTTGCGTATAAGTAGCGAAAATCACCGTGTTTGGAGAAAAAACTACGCCACACAAAAGGATTCCGGCTTGGCGGAGTGCTCACTGGACCCCAAGGAATATGTGGACCTCAAGCGTCAACTGCGGCAACTCAACTTGCCCCACAAAGACGGACACACGTGTTTGCAGCTGGAGTGTCGCCTCTGCGACCGCAACAGGCAGCCGGTGACAAACGCCCAAAAGGGCACTGATCATGGGCTGCTGGCTTACGTAAACAAGCGGACGGGTGAGAGCACCAAATACACTTCGGAAAAATAGCAGTTTTATATTGGATATCCCTTTAGGAGCCTTTATCTGCCCAAACTGCGACGTAAAAACCTCACTAGGCAGTGCTTTGTTATCCTATCAGTTGCCCAAGCCGGTTGGTTATAAGCAACCGCTGCAAAGGCAGCCGCTCTATGAATCCCGATTTCCCCACCTTGCCGATGTCACTCCCGAGGCCTGTGCAGCTCTGGGGATCAAAGGCTTGAAGGAGGACCAACTAAATGCCATTGGAGCACAATGGGAGCCGCAGCAACAGCTGCTCCATTTCAAGTTACGCAATGCCGCGCAAGTGGTAGTGGGAGAAAAGGTGTTATATCTGTGCGATCAACGGGAGGAGGTCTACCAGAGCAGCTCCAGCTCCGGGCTGCTGATCCACGGTGCGACGAACAAAACCAAAGCGGTTCTAGTCAGCAATCTACTGGACTTTATTGTCCTTGCCACTCAGAATATTGAAACGCGTAAGTGAGCTTTGTTCTTGGAATACTTTTCATTGGATGCAAAATGGTGAAGATATTTCTAATTTTAATTTATAAGGCTTAGTTTGTGAAATTTCAAGAAATAAGTTATTTTAAAAATTACCTTTGATCCTCATTGTTTTTATATTTATTTCTTCTTAGATTGCGTTGTATGCCTGCCCTACGAATTGAAGACACTACCACAGGAGTGTCTGCCCGCTTTGGAACGCTTTAAGGAGCTCATCTTTTGGTTGCACTACGATGCTAGTCACAGCTGGGATGCAGCTAGAGCTTTTGCGTTAAAGTTGGACGAAAGGCGATGCCTGTTGATCCGACCCACCGAAACGGAACCTGCTCCTCATTTGGCTCTGCGCCGACGCCTTAATTTGCGCCACATTCTGGCCAAAGCGACACCAGTGCAGCACAAGGCCATCACAACATTTGGAGCGATGCGAAATGACATTCTGAGCGAGTTGCAAAACATCGAGAAGGTCAATGGAGTAATGTGGAAGCGCTTTCCAGTTCTGAACAAACTGCTCAAAGGCCATCGGAGGGGAGAGTTGACTATCTTAACAGGACCCACGGGCTGTGGAAAGACAACCTTTATGAGCGAGTATTCCCTTGATCTGGCCATGCAGGGCATAAACACGCTGTGGGGCTCTTTCGAGATCCGAAACACACGGCTGGCGGCCACTCTGCTTCGCCAGTATGTAGGCTACCCGTTGGACGACCGGTTGCAGGAGTTTAACCATTGGGCAGCGGAGTTTGAGCGTTTGCCGCTATACTTTATGACCTTCCACGGACAGCAGCCTCTCAAGCCAGTTCTGGAAGCCATCGAGCATGCGTCTTATGTTCACGACGTGATGCACGTGATCATCGACAACCTGCAGTTTATGATGGGCATCTCCACATATCGAGGCGATAAGTTCTGGGAGCAGGACTCCATTATAGCAGCCTTTCGCTCCTTTGCCACCAAGTACAATGTCCACGTGACGCTCGTAATGCATCCACGCAAGGAGCGGCAAGAGGACGAGCTGACCACCAGCTCCGTTTTCGGAACAGCAAAAGCCACCCAAGAAGCGGACAACGTGCTGATCATACAAGACAAGAGGCTGACTTCTGTGCGGGGCAAAAAGTATCTCCAGATTGCCAAGAATCGCTATTCCGGTGACCTAGGCATTATGCCACTGGAATTCGACAAAGATGCTCTGAGCTACTCCTCCCAGATCCAAAATGCTAAGCGAAAGCGGGAAAAGACGCCAACCGAGAACTGACTTATTAAGGCATTTGTTGTACTATACGATGTAATTATTATGTTGTCTATGGCTAGTTTAGTCTAAGTGAATCCTTTGATAAACTGCATCACGTTGAGCTCTGCTTGTAGTTCTTGGTGTTCATGATCTTCTTGCCGCACATGGCGCATATGGCCTTTTTGTACGCGCACGCCTGGCAATAGTGGGATCCCATCTGGTGCACTTTCTGTCGGCAGATCCTGGCAAATTAAAAATTGGTTTTAAGATATCCAGATGGATTCTAGAGTAGTTTTCCTACCGGCAAGGCGGTAAGGCGGTCCCTATAGGATTGTATCGGTCGCGGGCCGATGATAGAGCCTTATTCTCGTTGATTTTACGTCCTCCCGCAGGAGCTGTGCTGGTTCTCCAGGGATTGGGGGCTGAAACTTTGGATAGCTTGGCCTCGCATTTCTCGCACACCATTTTTCTTATCAATTCAATTTGTTTTTTATTTACGTTTTCGGAAAACAGTGTGACCATTCCATAGATATTAATATCGATGTGCTGGGGGCTTACTATCGTAACAATTTCCCTTCAAGCGTCTATCGAAAGTTGTGCGTAATTCATCGACCATCTCAATTGCAAATTTTAGAAGAAAGAAATGACTACTGAAAAGGGCGAGCAACTGAGGTAAATTACAATAAATACATATTCAGTAGCAAGGAGTTAAGTACTTATTCTTTCTAGACAACAACTTATAGCGGCGGTGGTGAAGAAACGAGCCGCGATTGCGCGAGCCCATGAAATCGTTGTGCGGCTTTTGGAGCCCGGAATACCGGAGCCCGAGTTCCTGTCCCTGGTAAAATAATGCAAATTAAATGCTTCACGAGGCCACTAAGCATTTCCTGTACTTGCAGCTCTGGGAGATTGGCCCCCCAAATTATTCAGACATAGTGGACGAGCGGGAAATAAACAAACTTTGTGGATATCCGCTTTGCTCGACAGTTCTAGAAAAGTAAGTGGCCCAAACGAATCCCATGGTTCTTCCTATAACTATCCTTCATAACTACTATTTTAGCGTTCCTAAGCAAAAGTACAGCATCTCCGCGTCCAAAAACAAAGTTTACGATCTCACAGAACGCAAGAAATTCTGCTCCGGATACTGTTTTAAGGCCTCAGAATATATTAAGTCACAGGTGCCCACATCGCCATTGTGGCTGCGGGATAGAGAGACGAAGCCCAGCTTTCAGCTGCTACCACGAAATACTTGACCATCGTTATACATAGCTCTCAAAGCGTTTATTTATTTCGTATAAGCATTAAGACCATTTGTTCATTACATTACTGGATTTTCGATGTGGGATTATAAACCCTGGGGAATATTTCTTAAAGCACTAGCCGATCTGAATTAGATCATGATTATATTGTCGCGCTCTAGCGTTAATTCTGCTTCGCGCTTTGCATCTTCTTCAGACCACTCGCCGCACTTGCTGAGCACGTCGGTTTCCCGCGGAGGTTCGGTCTAACAATCGGTGAAAAATTGGCGGTTTCAAAAAGCGAAGACACGCGAGGGGACGATATAAAAAGGTTGTACTTTATTTGACTTTATTCAGTTATAGGCAATACCTCTTTGTCGTTGGCAGCCAGTTTGGTGAACATGTTGGCATAGAGCTTCTTCTCCTTGTTCTTGCTCTCTTTAAGCTTCTGCTTGCAGATGATCACTTGGTTGGCAGCCGCTTTGTTGCCAGGCTCCAATTGGATGACCTATTTGAATAAGGAGCAATACATGTGGTTAATGCCATAAATATACGTCTATCTTTCTTACTTTTTGGAAATCCTCTAGTGCATCCTCCAGCTCATTGATAGTCAAGTTGCATTGGCCACGACGGTAGAGAGCCTTGACATTATTCTCATCCAAAGCCAAAACGGCATTACACTAATAAAAAATAGTCAGATGTATTCATTATTCGATTAGAGCGCATGTACTCACCTCCTGCTTGGCTTCGAAGTGATCGTTGGACTTTTGGTGGCACAGAGCAATGTTGCTATGTGTGGCCACCTTGACCTTCTTCACCTCCTCATTGGTATCGGCAGTGCTGGGCAAAAGGTTCTTGCACTTGGTGTACATCTTGATAGCTAAAGCCCAGTTCTCCTTCTTGAAATAGTTGGTGCCCTTTTCCTTGTACACCTTGGCCTCCGCCAGGCGCTCCTCGTCGCTCAGCTTCCACTCCTCCAGTCCCTTGCCGCAGTCGACGAGCTTTACTGTGTACTCCACTGTGGCATTTGGCGGAATCTTGAACTCCTCATTGCCCTCTGCTCCAAATGCATACTTGGCCTGGATCTTGATTCTGTTATGGGGGTTTATAAGTTAGCCCGAAAAGTTTCTAGTGGACCAAGGGGAATCTACCTGGAGGTCTCGCCCACGTTCATCTTCTCCAGGGCAATTTCGACACCATCGATAATGCCAATGGCCTTACCCTCGCCATAATCAAACTCTACATCGCGATCCTCAAACACGCGGCCCTCGAAACTACCAGAAATGTGAGCTGCATTTGGATAACCGCATGAGATATAGTCACCGCATGTATGTGATAAACCTACCCTTGACGAAAGCGCCATCGCTGGGAGTGCGCTTCTTATCGCTGGCTTCCAAAATGGTGCGGTCAATACTTCCGTCCTGGTTGGGACTCAAATCCTCGCCCTTCCAGCCGAGCATCTCCAGCTGAGAGGGAAATATTTAACAGTTAGCAATATTTTCAATACAAAACTAATCATAAAAAAAGTTGCATGTGGGACACCTAAGAGTTTTCCTGGCATAATTTACGGTAATTCTTACCTCGAAAATCAGAGTGGCATCCGGCGGAATGGCGGGCGGGCTGCCGGCAGCTCCGTAAGCGTAGTTTGGAGCACATGTGAGGAAGCAGCGCTCGCCGAGCTTCATGGTGGCCACTCCCATGTCAAAGGCCTTGATCACATTGCCTAAAGGAGTCCGGTGGCCAGGAGTACGTTAAATAGAAGTTTCGCGAAAATCGCCGGCAACTCACTCACCTTTGCCGAGCGGAAATTCGAAGGGCTCGTTGCGGCTGACGCTGGAATCGAATTCCGTGCCATCGACCAGGCGACCTGTGTAGTGCAGGGACACAGTGCATCCACTGTGCGGCGTCTCAGTGCCCGTGCCCTCCCGCAGGATCTCCTTCAGGACGCCGCCGTCCCCGGACAAGTCGATTTTATTTTCTTCCGGCATTTTAGCTGTTCAACTTTAGTTCGCACGATGAGGCAGAGTGACCAAGCTTGATCACGTTTGAAAAACCGAATTGACTATTGAGTTCGTGCTCGTCAGACTTATTTTTTCAGTCACCTAACAGAATTGCGTTAACAGTCAGAGCCGACTCAAGCGCCATCTATAACGTTATGACAGTAGGTACTAAACTAGTTTAGATAAATAGCAAGGACGCGAACCCTATCACATACCTATTAAAAGGGTATATTCGTGAACTAATTAAGAGTAACTAACTAATTAGCTGTAGGAACTTGAGAAACTCTTTTATTATTTAGTTAACCTTAGTTCTACTTGCCTCAAAATGTTATTTGAAGACACGTATCTATACAATAATTCAAACAAATTTCTAACAGACTAATATATATTTTTAGTAATATGACACTAAGTTGACACTAAGAGTAATGGTAGCTAAAAATTCATAAAAAAAGTCGCTTTGACTTTAGTTTTACACGGAATAGGAGTTCTGCTGATTAATCCATTTCATGCAATTAATGATATTAAAGGACGTCAGTTGTTCATTTCATTGTCTTGGTTCTGAGCTACACACACACAGTGTTTCTCAAATGTAATCTGCCCAGCGGCTTTTGAATGCATGTGCATCTCTATAAGTGTGTGCAGTATGCATCAAATATAATCCTGTTATCGTTTTTGTTATATTTGATTATTTTGCCCTTGGCTTTTGACAGTGCCAACTTCCATTTCGTAAGCCAGCAAGAGCAACAAAATAAATTAATGCACTTAATTTTATTGGTTTCTATAATTCATGCTCGTAAGCTGGACTGCTATAAGCTCTGCACAGTAGGCCAATTGGGGGATTATCGCAATGGGCATTCAACGAATTTTTTCAAGGTCAACTGGAATGATACAAATGATAAGTGTGTATTTGTTGCTGGATTTTCTCAGTCCAACCAGCTGTGACATTATTTTCTTTGAATTCCGCCTGTGTCTTTATAAATCGGTGCACCTGTCGCTGACTCCTGCCTACTAAAATATTAGCCAGTCATCAACAAGCGCTTCATCTGAGTTTCGGTACCAAGTTCTTAAGAGCCCAGAGTCTGGCGCCCTTGTCGCTCATTAATTAGGGTTCGTCTACAGGGATGACTACGCTGGAAAAATATATAAATGTATTCCAACGTTCATTTGGGAACTTGGAATCTACTAAAAACGTTGATCATTTAATGCGCTAGAAATACATGCAGTTTTAAGTGATGTGACTAAGTAGTACTTGAAATTTTACATTACAAATAATGTAAGCTAAAGCATTCAAATAATACTTCATCAAGATAACTTAAGCGCTTAAATGCCAATGACGTATACGCAATATTATTAAGTATACGTTGTAAGTACTACCTGCTGCACTAATAAAGAATGAAGATGCTTAACTTAATTGCAAGAAATGTCAACTAAAACGTTTTGAAAGCCATTAAAATGCTATTATAAAGGTGCCACAGGGCTTAGAGTTTTCTTTCGGTATTTAATAGTCGTACTTCTTCTGGGCTTAAAGTATGTCAGCATATGAGAATACATATCTCCAGAGATTCCAGTGGCTCCCTAGAAAGCAGCATATTTATATTTTTTTGAGTGCCCTGAGCCGTGTCCCTGTCCAGGCCCATTATTTTTTCAGGTATAGTATAGAGACATTGACCAGCGACGGACGCCCACAATCACGCTGCCTCGGCTGGCGTCTCCGCTGGCAGAGGTCCTGCTGTTGCTCGTTACTCGACTGTAAACATTCCAGGGCAGCTTTCACTCGAGGCGCCAGGCTCCGGGTTCGAGTGGCAAGGAGCACGGAATACACAGGACCCAGCCACAGGACTCACTCAGCCACACGCTCACTCAGTGACTCGAAGCGTTCGGCTGCGCTCGGCTGGAAGCTTCGTTTTCCGTTTTCCGTTTCGGATTGAGTCAGATTGTGGATGCTGCGTGGCTCGTGGTCCATGGCCGTGTGAAAAGCTGCGTTGAGCGCATTAAGTCGTTAGGGTACAACCAGACAGGACGCACTTACTCCGAGCTGCCGCCATTCGCCTGCCTTGGCGTGTGTGTACCGTTAGTTCAGCTGTCCCGTGCAGAGAGGGAAATTAGCGGGGAAGCCCCGACATCGAACCGAAATCGAATTCAAATCACAGCCAAAGTCAAAGTCACAGTATCGCTGAGTATCGAGTATCGTATGCATAAAAACTTGCTGGCTAGTGCGTGAAGAAACTGCCAAAACAAAAAAAAAAAAACAAAATAAATACTCCAATTCCCTCTGTGGCAGCTCCCGCGCGTCCAAGTGTGTGTAAGTGTCGTCTGTGCGTGTGTGCGTGCGTTCCCCCAAAACTTCAGATCGAGTGTGTTCATCAGCAACAAATAAATACAAAAATTTAAATAAAATTGAATAATATTCCAAATGTTTACAAACGACAAATAGAAAGTCGCATTAAATCATAGCCAATTAAAAATGTTTGCTTAAACGAACCAAGGTAAACAGAACGAGCAAAATTGTTGCTCTCTTCCCCAGCGCTTTTCCACTTTTCTGCTTTCCCCATTTCCCAACAAACCAATGCACTCGGTACGGTGCAACAGCTTAAAAGTATGCTACGATTTTTCCCACTCAATATTTCGTGTAATTGTTGCGCCTGCCGCTGTGCTTGCATGTCCTGCAATGTCCTGGGGAATTGTTATGCCTTTCCGTTTTACGAAAAGAGCAGAACACTAAAAATGTGAACAGTTTGGTGTGAAGTACCCTGTGCAGCACCGCAAACTCGATAAAAATTTGATGTTGCTTAAGTTGGTTTTGTTATTGGCGAAAAATATGTGTTTGTCTACGATTTGGTTTGCATTGGAAACCATTTCATTTGCTGGCGAAAATTTGTTTGATTTGTGGCAAGCCTCAAGGAAAACATCTGAACTAGCAGAATGATAAAATTGTGTAAACATTCTGTGCACAAGGCCAAATCATAAAGTTTCCCAGCGAATCGCCCAAACGCTCAACCCGAAGTGCAGTTCTGTTTTTTCGAGCTCGTATTTGGCTTATAAACTGTTGCTTCTGACAGTTATCTCCACGAATCGGAGCAATTTTCCCAGGCTGGCAGAGGGAAATCCCAGGCGATTTCCTTCTTTTCCTTCAGTTCCACTCGCTTGCCCATTTTTGGCTTGGCTTTTTATTCTGCTCTGCTTTTGGTTGTGCTTTGACTGATTGTTTTATTGGAATTGAAATCGAAATCGCTGCGACTTAAGCGCGCTTTTATGGCGATTTAATACGCACATTTTTGTGGCTGATTGTTTGAGTGCGTTTTTAACTTTCGACTGCAGCGGCGATAATTAAAATTAAATTGTGAACAACTTTAATTGCGAAACCATTGTGCCGAGATTGTTGCCAGTGTTCTCCCAACAAATTGCAGTTTTGCGGTTTACGGTCCGGGGTTTTCCCCCAAAACTTCCTGCTCGCACATTCCTTGTTGTCCTTGCTGTCCTTATGCAATTAACATTTGCACTGTTATCAATCAGTTGGCCAAGAACAGAACTTTTCTTTTAGTCATTTCCCGTCACATCCTTCATGTCGCCTCCCCCCTGCCGCCTTATCATTCAATTTGGCCAAAAAGGGAAGAAAACTTTTCTGCCAAACTAACAACTGGCGAAAGCGGCAGCCACACATACACAGGCGCACACGTTGAAGGCGAGATGCGAGGAAAAAACAACAAAAAAGTAACCAGAACGCGGCGTGTCTAAGTGGGCGTAAGTGGTCATGTATGTGAGCGTGTCTGTGTGAGTGTGCACATGCGAATGTTCATATGTGGCCAGCTGTATATGTATGTGTGTGTGTGCGTCGTGTTGAGTGGCAAGTTGTGTACACACGCAGATTTTTCATCAATCATTTTGCTTGACTACGCCTAGTTCACATTTTAGGGCATGTAGTTTAAAAATTGGGCCGCAGCCCATCGATAGTTGGTTGTTGGATGTTGGGCGGCGGGAATCCTGCGGAGCGCGTGGTGCCACATGGGACTGGGATGGTGCCACTCGGAAACATGAAACGAATGAGGCATCTCGAATGGCGCCTGAAGCGGGAAATGACGGCCCCCCAGAGTTTACTGCTTTAAGACCCTTAAAGGTCCTTTATGGATAGCACAAGAAAGTTTTCCACCGATCTTTGTTGCCCTATATACAAAACAGGTTTTAAACAGTTTTTTTAAATATATTTTTTTTTCCGTTTCGACACATAAGTTTTACCTTATGTGTTATTTGTTAGTTCGAAAGAGTCTAGTTCGGTTGCTGTTCGATTCGTGCACAAATAGTCACTGTCCATTCGCTCAAGTGTTGAGCTAATAACTTCATTAACGTAAGTCAGTTAACGAATCAAATTTATAACCTTTTTTATTATACGCCCGTGGCATATTAACGTAATCGCCTTTATCTCTGATGTAGTGAAATATAAATCCAATTTATGCTTTGTGTGTGGTTTAATATTCCCTTTGATTGAGATATATATGTGGGGTAAAGGTAAAAAAAAGTGTAATAAATATTTTAAGCATTTTATTGTTTTGTTTAATTGGGCTTAGTACAGCTGCTTTTGAAATAGATTGAAAAGCAAATTCGGTGCACTTGACAATTGAATTGTTTCTCTTTTTATTGTCATTTTTATGTTTTTACCTGTGTGCTATTGTGATAAAATCAAATCAAACGTGCACAATAGTCAGCTTTAGGCCACATATTTTTCCCAAACAAAGTAATAGATTTGAGTATTCAAATTTTCAGCAATCCATAGTATTATTTTCATTCAACAATTTCACCTTATGGTCTTGAATATTAAATATTCATTCTTTTATATAATAAACTCGTATATTTTCTTATAGATTGTTTTGTAAGGAAGTGAACCTATTGAAGTTCAAAGTTAATAAATTTTATCTTTATTTAAAAAAAAAGCAAATAAATAAAAGCAAAAATTTATTCATTGTGATTTATATGATTAGTATTGAGGAAATTATCCTTATGGTTTGTCGGTAATAAAAGCAAATAGGAGAAAGTTTTTAAAATCATCATGGTATCTCTTCACGAAATCAGTTCCAAGTTTGACCTGCCTCAGGATTTTTTATGATGATTTCAAGACGTTTTGCTGCGGATATCTGTGTCCTTTTTGAGTTGGCTTCTGCCATTTTGTCCTGTTCGATTTGGCAGCTGAGCAGACATAATAAAGAGTCGAAATGAAAAAATGCGCTGTGCCTTTGTGTGCGTGGAAGTACCTTTATTCTAAACGGTGAGGACACACCGACACAAATAAATACGAGACAAATACATACCCACTGGCACACATACCGATGCAAATGGAGTTGTCGGAATTGCTCCACTTTACGTGTGTATACACGTGTGTGTGTGTGTGTGTGTGTGTGTGTGTGTGTGTGAGTGGGTGCGTGTCTATCTGTCTGCGAGAATCCAAAATCCCGAATCCAACCCCCGTCATCAACCTGCACCGGAACACTTAAACCCAAACACGTTGTCTGTGTTGGTGTTGCTGCTGGCAGTTGGTGGTGTTCGTGTGTATTGGTGAGCCGTCCTGTTCGTCCTTTTTACTGGCGTCTACGCACAATATGTTTCGTCTTTAACCCAACCGAAAGCTTCGTCTGACGAGAGCTTCAAGGAGTCCTGAGTCCTTGCTCCTTGTTTCTGGATCCTTGTGGAAGTTTTAATGTGATTCCTTCGTATTAATTTCGACATCGTCATCGTTGTTGCTCTTGCCTCCTGTCTTTTGGCCCTCGCCCTCGCCCTCTTCTCCTTTCTGCTGTTCCTTCCCTCATCCTTCTCTGCTCTCTGTCATTTTCTATTTTTCTCCTTACGCACTTTTTATTGCTCGTCCTGCGTTCGCCTTCGTTTCTATTTTATTTTAACAACATCTTCGTCGCCAGAATGGAATTCTGTCGAGCTCGGCGCTTTTCCTCAGCACTAACTTAACCGCTACCCATCTCAATCCCAGCCTCTCGCCATCTCTCACTTCTCCACTTTCTCCGCCGCCCTGCTCTCTCCCATTTCTCCGCCCTTGTGCATGTGTGAGTAAAGTTTATATTTTTTGTGTTGCTCTGTCTTTTATGTTCATCATACGAAAGCGCGACTTTGTTGCACTAAACGTAAGTTGGAAGATTTACAACTTTTTGGTTTAACACATGCAACGTGTGGAGGGGCAGCGGTCTGAAAAGTGGGGTAGGCTTACAGATAGACTGTTGGGGGTGAAGGCCACGGAAGAAGACTCACAGAAATTCGCTCCAAAGAACAAAAAACACTACACGAATCCCAAGGGAATGCACAAAGTATAAACCTTATCACGATGCGGAGTGAGAGGTATTCTTGCTCCCGTAAACTTATCCTTAAAGGAAAAGTTATTATGCATATAGTGCAGAGTTATACGTACGCACTTTTTGTTTTCTCTTTTATTGGCCTGAAATATGAGGCATAAGTAATTAGCAAGAGGCAGCAAGAGAGGAATGCTCTGGGGGTCAACAAATAGTTTACGATGGCCAGGAAAATACCTTCAGGTGTAAGCTTTAAATTGTTAGTAAACCCTTGAAAATGCTCCGCAAAAATATGAACAACTTTCGGTCGGGTAATTACATTTTTACGAATGCAGCTGCTGAAAAGTCTCAAGTTACTTATTTAATTTCATGGAGCTCGGAGTTGTATTGTAGTTAAACTTCTCTGGCTTGAGTGCAAGAAAAGTTAATAAAGTGTGCGGAATTTATTCAAAAAAGGCTAACATGCAGTATAATAAACTTTTAATAACTTTTACTCGTAAAGTAAAGCAGCAGATAAATTAAATTTTTAGAAATGTATATAGGGGAAAATTGTCCTATGATATCTGTTATAAAGAATACTTCCTATATTTTACAAGACTCATAACAGCTATTATATTTCTATCTCTTTAAAATTGGCCAAGTTTCCTTATACTAAAGCTTTAAGTTTGTCCATTATAAATTTTCAAATAAAAATAAGATTGTTTGAATGATAACTTTAACCAGTTCAAAAGTTCGCTTGGAACTTTTATCGACACACGTATTGCTTGAATAAGTCAAAAATTGAACTTCATTTAAAAGCAGTTATTTTAATCCTAACTTTAGATCTCGGAAATTTCACCCGTTGTCCAAGTTTCAATTGGCAAACAAAGGGGAAAAGTTTTTTAATTGCTCATTACATCTGAATCAGGTTGCTGCACTTGCCGCAGTAGAAAAGCCGCAATTTTCATCATATGTACATCAAAAGCATTTCTAATCAGCAGGCAGTCGGCAAAAGCAACAACAGCATACAACATACAATATGTGTTTGTGTGTGTGTGTGTGGTAAAAGCGCATACAAGTTGCAAGTTTACTTATCCTGCCGTTCCCCTTTTCCCTCAATTTTTGCCAGCCATTGTTACGTTTGCGTATGTATGACTATGTACACAGAACAAAACAATTATCCATTCGATCACATTTGCCAGACCCTGAAAGTAACAACGAAT